CTATTAGAGTTTTGCTTTATATATAAAAATCAAGTTTTGCCCACTATTTGTATTTTTCAGACAAATTCTATTATCTTATTATCCATTAGTAGTACTACTTTTCAAAAATGCTTTTTTACAATTGAAACCCATTTATATTGTAATCATTGTATTATTATTATTACTTTCAATCAAACCATTGAACGACGTTTTTCAATATATTGAATATAACACTAATTATTGTGAAATAAGGATTAAATCATATTTTAATAAATAATACTTCAAATACATAGTATTGTCATAAAATGTATATTTATAAACCACTAGTAAGATAAGACTTATATTAAATAAATTAATATTTATACCAAAAACCAAGCAATTGTTTTCATTATACTGTGGATATTAAGTTGTATTTTCACAATAATATCATTATTTATTTAATTATTTCTCACGAATTTAATTATTTGTCAGTAGTTTTTGCTAATTATTGCACAAAAAATTACATAATAAACAAATAGACAATAATATTATATAATTAATTGCAAGATTATATGAAAGAATTTGCTTTAATGAATGACATAATTTTTTAATTTATTATTAATTTACAAACACATTGTATTGAGAAGTATTTGTGATATATTTAGCACCCTTTTATGTAATAATTAATTATTTACTTAAATAAACATTTAATTAATATTTTGTGATAATTTAATACCTTTAGTGATTTATTAAATTAATATGAATAGCGAACAAAAATTTAATACAAAATTTTGATCATGTTATCAAAATGAACTAATCTCGAGGGAAATTTTGCTTGTCTTTCGTAACAACAAATTGATCCACAATTTTGTCCTAAAAATGATGAAATTTATAAACAAATAATACATTTTAAACAAAAACAAACTAACATTTTCTGCAGAGTATTGTTCAAAGAGCAGATGTGTCTTGTTTTGTACATTCATACGGGTATAGCCATAGTCTCGGGAATAAAACGCTACCCAATCGGGCAGAATCTCCTCGATATCAGAATTGGGTCTATTTGTGGTACCCTTTCGTCCACAAAAGTGATAAAAATAAATTTCCAATTTTATCACAAATAATGCAATTTATTGTTATGTAATACTAACGGCAACGCCAGTCGTTATATGAATGGGTGCCTTAGGGTTAGTGTAGATATCAGTCCGTTTCGACGATTTCAAGTTATATAACGGATACGATCTCTCGTATAGATGTTTGTGTCCGTAAAATTGTATATCCACTCCATGTCTATAGAATAGATCCTCTAAACCATAATTGGTTTCTCGGTC